TTCAAATGGAATTTTGTTCTAATTATTTATTTATATTTTTTAGTTATCAAACATCAATTCAATCTGAATTAGCTACAGAATGATTTTTCAATGATTTACATAAAGACTTAAATCATGAAAATTTCTATCCACTTTTTTCCATACATCCAATACTTGAACATTTCCATGATGCATCAAAAGCAATAGCAAAACTTAGAAAATTTCAATTTTTTACTCCCATCTATATATCAAGTAGTTTGTACATAATAGACTTTACGTATGAAACTGTAACACTAAGGATATAACATAGCATTGTAAAAGGCATTTTCTTTTTGTTTTTTTATTAAACGCCTCCGAAGAAGCAGCAAAAATTGCAGCATTCGGCACAAGGCCAAATGTGCGGGATATTGGGTATTAGTTTTCAACTAGCAATAACCTCTCCTCGCGAAACGCTCATTGGATAAGGTACTGCCGCTGCGCAAAGATAACATTTGTATGAATTTATCGATGCTTATAAGCAAAACTTCATGCAAAACAAAATCGGTGAATGCATAGCAGACAACATAATAAGTCATAGATTGCGAAAGAACGAACAAGAGAAAAACATACGTCACATTTTCTTTTTTCTGCAATAACTAGTCAAATACTTCTTAAAATAAAATGGTGGATGTGAGAACAACGAAGGTTTCTTATCACGAATTCCTTAAAACTACTTGTTAATAGAATGAAACGACAAATATTCATACCTAGCACTCAAGACATCGAAAAACATTATGACAACGTTGAACAATATTTTCATAAAAGAATTCTTTTACTGTCTCGTATCATAATTATTTTATTAGTATTTTATTCTTCATCACTCAACAAAAGATCTGGGTCCGTTTTGAATCAAAAGAAATTTAGTATCAGTCTCCATTCCTCGCTGTTTTGGAACTATACTGCCCGTATTTATGTAGTAATGATCGATATTATACATATAAAATAATCTGCCTAATGAAATAGATAAATATTAAATTCAATTCACTTAATTCATTTTCATAGCAAACAATATCTGTGAAAAAAAAATATTCGACTTTTCTAACTAGATATATAGTTGTATTGTTTTTAGTTTTTTAATAATTATATTAAATATATAAAAAAAAAATCATTCAGCACGTTAAAAAATTGAGTTATTATTGTCTCATCGAAAAAAAATCGATATATTATTGTTGTCAACCTTTTCTATATGAAATAATGTTACAAAATCAACTTCTGATTTCAATTCATAATCAATATGTCAGTGTTTAGTATATTTTGTTTCATACTTCCATAAAATATAAAAATTACAACGAATATTCATTGTTGTGAATGTCGATAATATTAACCATCGTTTTATATATTTTGATATTTAATAGATTAGTCAATCGAATTTTCACTCGTAATCTTTATGCATTATAAAAACTTGCTATATAACTTATGATCATAGTTTTATTCTATTATCATTTTTGATCATGTTTCTTGTAATACAAATGCCAGTCTTTTCCACTTCAGATGTTTGTCACTTGAATATTTCAATTTATTTTAATTTTAAGTTAAAATGAGAATAATTTATAAAAAAATCGACAAAATTATCTTTCAAATTAGAAAATTAAATAGAATTTTGTTATAATTATTTATTTACAAAACAGCAAATTTTATCTAAATTAGCTACAGAATGATTTAAATAAACACTTAGATCATGAAAATTTCTATCCGTCCAACACTTGAACATTTCGATAATGCATCAAAAGTAATAACAAAACTTAGAAAATTTTAATTTTTTACTTCATCAATATCAAGTAGTTTGTACACAACTATAAATTTATTTATCAACATAAAACAAATAGAGAAAGAATCTTGAAATAAAATTAAATAAACATCATTACATGATTATTCTAATTAATGATAATATGGCATTTTGTTGTAGAAAGCATTTTCTTACAAAATGATAATTTTCTTTTTGTTTTTTTATTAAACGCCTCCGAAGAAGCAGCAAAAATTGCAGCATTCGGCACAAGGCCAAATGTGCGGGATATTGGGTTTTAGTTTTCAACTAGCAATAACCTCTCCTCGCGAAACGCTCATTGGATAAGGTACTGCCGCTGCGCAAAGATAACATTTCTATGAATTTATCAATGCTTATAAATATAAATTCATGCAAAACAAAATCGGTGAATGTGTAGCAGACAAACTAGTGAATCATACGTTGTGAAAGAACGAACAGGAAAGAAAGAAAGAGCAAGATGGACGACATTTTCTTTTTTCTCTTTTTTATCCTCCTCAACAAAAAAACAACATGGTATTTCACTGGGTATTTTATGCAATATAATTCGATGTTGTTGTTCTATTTTTTTTGTAATTTTTTTTTTTTAAATAAAATATAAGAAATGCTGTGAATGAGAAAAATATTAAAAAAAAAGTATTTGTTTTTGGTGGTTAATATATATTTATATTATAAAAAACACATATAATCAATATACGTCGTCAATGATATGTTCTTGTTAATATTCGTAAGTGAAAAAATCATCTGCTTGTGATACAAATAGATTAAATGTTTTGTACACGAAAATAATTTTTGTTGAAATTGTTTTTAACATAAGAGAAAACAATGACAAATTTATTAATCAATCAAGATCATGTTTGCTTTTCTTTTTTTTTGGTTTCACTTATTTTTAGTTTATATTTGCTTTATGAATATTTCTAGCATGGATATAATTGTAATTGATTGTTTTTGTTTTGAATTAAGTACCCTAATGAATTTTTGCCGATTAGTTATTTGTTTGTTTATGTAATATAAAAAATGCAAAAAAATTTTAATAAGTATTTCCCATCGATTAGGACCGAAATTTTTTTTTTGTAATTTGACTGTTATGATCAAAGTTAGAACCTTGATTTATATATATCACCTTGTGGTTTTACATAGAAAGGAGCTCACTTGTAGTATCATTTAAATAATAGCTACAACTTATGTATTGTTTTAGTAGACTGTCTGTTCTACAAAATGAATAACTCTAAACATGTTCGATAAGAAAATTTATAGATTAAACAAAAATTTATTAGCTTAACATTAAAAATAATTTTTCAGTTCTTGCAAAAATATCCCTCATGACTCTTCAAGAAAAATATTTCGAAACTCATATTCAAAATTCTAATCGTCACCTATAGTTTTTTGGACTCGTCTGAAATGTTTTGAAGCTTTTTTTTTATTTTGCATGTCACTGTATTCAGAAACACGAAAAAATGTTGATCTTTTTTTCCTTTGTTTTAGTAGATATGTTATTGAATGTTCTACTCGAATCATAAGAACAAGTCTTTATAGCTTTTTTCGAAATTTTAATAAACTCCTTACATTAAGTACGTGTGTGTGTCATTGTGCTAGTTCTTACAAGAAAAAATTAATTTTGTGATTGAAACCTAAGTACAAGATTATTATTGATTTCTTCTCAATGTATTTTCATCACCTTTAGTTGGGAGCTAAATTCTCTTTGTAGTATTTTATTAAGTTGAGAAATTTTAATCTATAGATTTCTACATTGACTCCACTATTTTTTAGATAATGTATTTGAGAGTACCATAACATTCATCTTATTAAAAAGAAAAGATTAACGCTTTATCATGTTATTGAACTGAGTTACATGCAAAAATTTTGCTAAATGCAAAGAGGAGAACAGGAGCTCTATTATCTTTAACATTTTTCTTTTAAAATACCACATTCGAATAAGCGTCGAACACCGAAAATTTTTCAGAAATCGTTTCTCGAAAAAATCAAAAATATCTCTCATGAAACTTTAAAATATTTACTATTGTATAAATTGTCCTACAGTTTTTTTTTGGATGTGATATTTGAAATGAAAAATAATCAAGAGTTTAGATAAACATCTTGTGTGTCATAAAATAGAAAAAAAAAATTTTGTCTGTTATTCAGGTGTCGTCAAATCGAAATTTCAGCAAGATTCATATTTGTAGTTCTTTTTTTTTGTCACAGTTTGATAGAGCTCAACGATTTTTTTTTAAATACAAGTACATATTCGTATTTAAAGTTAGCGAAAAAATCTGCATCAAAAATGATACTCAATATTTAATACTAACTTTGAATTTCGAAGAATTACAGACTGGATGAATTAGATTAATTCTCTTTTGTTTTTCTTTCTATAAATTCGTCTAAATAAAAAGTAAACACTTTAAAAAATACGATTCGTATTTACCGATTAATAGGCGCAGATGATATCAGTGAAAAAGCACTGAATTATTGTTTGTTTAAATCATGTCTATAAATGTTTGCAACCCACTGATAGATTGAAGGAGGGTGAGAATAGCTTAGGAGTGTCCCTTTCCATTCTTCTCGGACAATATGTATGTTGTCTCATTTTTATTTGCCTTTCTTGTTGTGTTCTCTTTGTGTCGTACTTAATTTATTATTTTTGCGCTCGCTATTTTATTTTATTGACACTAGAGGAAAATTATATAATGAGTTGTAGTTGTTTGTCTGGAAGTCTATGAATTGAAGAGTCGTATTTTGGCATGAGTACTCATTTTGTTCGGCTTGAATCACATGAATATTATAGGTACTTATATAGTCTACATCTCTATATTATATGTAATTGCCACTGTCTGTAATACGAATCATCAAACTTGGCACATATCTAGGTATCGCATCATCCCTTTCCACTCAAATATCTTTGCGGATGAACGAGCAAATTGACTATAGTAAATTTATTTGTTGAATAATTGAACTTTCCTAACCATGACGGACGTTTGTATACGATCAAAGACCGTACATAAATAATAGTTCATTATATTATAGAAATTACTTTCGTATCACAATTTCTTTTGCAATTATCAATAACAGCTACAGCGTGTTTCACATCTTTAGTTTCACAGGCATTGTCCTAACAACTTACTAAATAATAGATATTTAAAATTATTTGATATCAGTTGTAAATTCATGCAAAGAAATTCTATTTTTCTTTTTAGATAAATTAAATAAGTTAAATTAAAGTAAAATGACAACATCAAACAAAAATATCAAGGTGACAATTACACCAAGTTCAGATACAGATGTTGTTATATCAGCTCGATCTTATCAAGTAGAATCTTTTAGTATTAGTATTATTATTTTTTTGTCTTATATTAATTTAATTTCTATTTAGACGGAATTAATGGAACAAGCAAAATCAGAAAATTTAATTGTATGTCTTCCAACTGGAAGTGGAAAAACTTATATTGCTGTAATGCTTATTAAAGAAATGTCATATTCTATTCGTGAAAGTGTTAAAAAAGGTGGAAAACGAACTGTATTTCTTGTTAAAACTGGTAAATTAAATTTTTTTTTTTATTATGATAATTTAAAGTATCTGTTTTTTTTTGTGTTTATCTTAAAAGTTCAACTTGTTGATCAACAAAGTGATTATATTCGTACTCATACAAATTTTAGTGTTGGAAAATATTGTGGTGAATTAGGAGTTGATTTATGGGATAAAGAAAAATGGGAAGATGAATTTGAAAAAAATCAAGTATTAGTATTTACTGCTCAAGTTTTTCTTAATTTAATTGATCATAATTATTTTTGTAAGATAAAAAATGAATGAAATTTATTTTTTAATATTAAAAACAAAAAGTTTTGTATTTATTTTTAGCATTAAAACATATTAATTTAATTATATTTGATGAATGTCATCATGCATCCGGTGATAATCAATATGCTGCATTAATGAATAAACATTATGATAATTGTCCTGATCCACCACGTGTACTTGGTTTAACAGCATCAATTAGTAGTAGAAAAATTAAACCTAAAGATTTATTAGATAATGCAAAAGAATTGGAAAAAACTTATCGGTAATTTAAGTAGATTTCTTTCTTTTTTTTTCTATTTTGTAAATAATTATTTAAGTATTTTTGAATTATGTGAGCAATTATGAAAGCATTCTATGATCGAAATATTTCTGAAAGTTGTTGAGTTTCTTTTAGGAGTTCTGTAGTTAGAGTTGTAAAGCGATGCATTGATCGGCAATGATTACTGCAGGTTGTCAATTTGATTTAGAAAAGTTTTGAACGATGATGTCAAAACTTACTGATAAGAAAACTGATTTTGAGATTCTGAAAATTTCTATTTTTGTGTTGTTATGGTGGTGCAGTCGTCCGGGTCACATCTCTATCTGTATCCCGTGAGTTTTTGACACATTTCATTGTATGTAGATCTGATATAGATAACGTTGAAATCGTTTCTACTAATTAATTGAAATTGATTGTAGTCAAGAGCGAACCTGAAATTTTGGGTTTAGTACATAGATTTATATTAAAATAAATGAATGTATTTAGAGCTCGAATTGAAAGTGGTTCAAGTCGAAGTGAAAGTATTCAACATGGTACATCAGCTCACGTTGAATCAATCCTATATTCAAATTATCGTGATGAAATATTATCTAAAAATGAAAGTTTAACAATTCCATTTGAAGTAAGATAATAGTAATTTCTAACTGCACTTTAAGAAATATATAGATGAGTTATCAATACTTTTTTTTTGTATAAATATTCACTGATTTAATTTATTATCTTTCTCTACTGTAATGACAGAAACTTCGTCACATTTTATCTTTAATCAAATATACTATTGTGATTGTCTTTCATAGTAGTCTATTTTTCTCTCAATTGTTTTAGTTGATATTTAGTTCTCTGCGAGAATATTCTAACTGTAAAACTTTTACCACACATAGTGTCGAATATCAAAAAAAAATCATCTTTTAATATAAACTTTGATTGTAATTTTACAATGAAATTTCCTAGATTTCATCAAATCGAATCCAAATGCCTTATTATTTGATTGATCTTTAGATTCTAAATTTTATGCGTAATACAATTGAAAGTTATATATCAAAAAGAAAAGATGAATATAAGAATATTGAACGAAATCTTAGTCATACAATGTTAACAACTGATTATCGTGGTAATAATATTGATATTTATAATCAACAATCATTTGATTATACAACATTTACTCAATCTCAATCGGTAGCAATCATACATATAAAACGTTTTATTGAAAATTTAATTGAAATTGGTTATGAACTTGGTCTATATGGTTTATTAATATTTGCAATAGAAATACGAAAAAAATTCAAATCAAATCCTATTTGTTTATCAATTACTGATTCATCAACTCGTGAAATGTTTGATGATATATTGCAACGTCTTGAATGTCTTATTGATGATATATTAAAAAATTTATGTCGATTAAATGAACATAATTATGAAATATTATTTAGTTCCAAAGTTCGTCTACTACTTGAACGAATAATTAAACAACAAAATAAAAAAACTATATCTGGTCAATGTATTGTATTTGTTGAACGTGTATATACAGCAACAATATTAAGTCGAGTTTTATCTCATCTTGCATTATCTCTTGAACCACCATTGAATACTCTATTGAAAATTAGTCATGTTACAGGAACAAAAACTATTTTTCCTGATAAAACAGTAACAACAAAATCACAAGTAAAAATTTTCATTTGATGAAAAGAAATGAACTTATAAATTTTACGAAATAATTTATCGTATTTTTTTGCGAAGGATTTCTGTATTCGATATTTAATCATTATTATAACAATATCTGAAGTTTTTCTTTTTTCATCGAATTTGTCCACTCTCTAAATTCATATTCTGAAGTATAAATTTTAATTACAAACTTAAAGTTGAAAAATCGTGTCTTATAGTTATAAAACCGTTTAAAATAGGTTTTGCAATACTAGGGATGTACCGAGACGGAGCCTCTCGGGCTCAGTCAGTCTCGGTCTCGGCTAGTCTCAGTCAGTCTCGATCTCGGTCAGCCTCGGTCTCGGCTAGTCTCGGTCAGTCTCGGTCTCG